TCTGTCCTCTCTCTCTGTGTGTTCTCTCTCTCTCTCTCTCTCTCTCTGTCTCTGTCTCTGTCTCTCTGTCTCTCTTTCTCTCATATCTCTCTCTCTCTCTCTCATCTCTCTCTCTGCCCTCTCTCTCTTTCTCTCATCTCTCTCTCTGTCCTCTCTCTCTGTTCTCTCTCTCTCCCTCTCCTCTCTCTCTTTCTCTCATCTCTCTCTCTCTGTTCTCTCTCTCTCTGTTCTCTCTCTCTCCCTCTCCTCTCTCTCTTTCTCTCATCTCTCTCTCTGTCCTCTCTCTCTCTCTCTCTCTCTCTCTCTCTCTCTCTCTCTCTCTCTCTCTCTCTCTCCTTCTCTCTCCTTCTCATGCCAGTTCTCCAGGCTGGCTTCTCTTGCTATTCTAAGCACCTTCTCTGGATAGCTCATCTCTATCAGAAGAGTCTTTTATTTTGCATATCAATCCAGTCATTTACTCCAGGTTCCCTTTTGATTACTCTGCTCACATAGTGGGCTCACGACCCATGCTCTCTATCACCCCCTCAGCCTGCCCTGTCCCCTCTGTGGTCCAGACACTGGTGTTCCCAGTGGCTCGGGAGACTCAGTCCCTCACTTCACCTCCCTTGTGCACACTCGTCACTGAAGCTAAAACATAGACCACCACTTGTGCAGGTTGGTTTTTGTCCTCTCGTCACAAGCTAGAGTCATTGAGAGGAGTGGTCTCCATTAGATCAGGCTATAAGCAGACATATAGGGCATTGTCTTAATTGGTGATTGATGGAGGAGGGTCCAGTCCATTGTGGGCGGTGCCATCCCTGGGCTGGTGGTCCTGGGCTCTATAAGAAAGCAGGCTGAGCAAGCCATGGGAAGCAAGCCAGTAAGCAGCACCCTCCGTGGCCTCTGCACCAGCTCCTGCCTCCAGGTTCCTGCCTGACTTGACCAAGCTCCTGCCCTGACTGCCTTTGATGATGAGCAGTGATATGGAAGTGTGAGCAGAATAATCCTTTTTTTCCTCAAGTTGCTTTTGGTCATGGTGTTCAAGCAAGAGTGACCTTGGCTGGGACATTGCCCTGGAGTAGGAAACCACAAAAGTTACCACTGAACTCTAATCAATCCCCTTTCCCCTGTCTGTCTATCTGTATGTAAGAGATTCGCCCTATACGTTCTGCTACTCTAGAGAGCCCTCACTAATACAATCCCAACAGGCATCCTCGTGTACAGAGCACACAGGATCATCGAGTCCTGCCAGGAAGCCTTCATCCTGCGTCTCTTCCGACAAAAAAACAAGCATGGCTTCATCAAAGCTTTCACCGACAACGCTGTTGCCTTTGACACTGGCTTTTGTCATGTGGAAAGAGTGATGAGGAACCTTTTTGTGAGGAAGCTCTACCTGTGGCCGAGGTAATGATGTCATGGAGCATGTCCTGTGAGCAGAGGAGCCTTGACTGAGCTGCAGTCTAATGCAGTGGATAGAATACAGTGTGAAATCTGCTATCCTGTCTATAAGGACCTCCTCTTCCTCCCTCGTCCCTCCTCCCTCCTCTTCCTCCTCCTCTTCTCCCTTTTCTTCCTCTTCCTCTTCTTTCTAAACACATTTGTGTGTGTGTGTGTGTATGTGTGTGTGTGTTTCAATTTTATGAAGACTACTACTTGTACAATTATTCTTTTGTTTCTTATTTTGGAATTAAAAACCTCCCATAAATGGTAAATATTTTGGTAGTGGAGGCCCAATCAGCTCAGCTCTGCCGTTAGAGGCACAAAAGCAGAGCCAGCAGGATTGCTCAGGGGTACAAGTGCTTGCCTGAGTTCAATCCCAGGGAGCCACATGGGAGGAAAAAACTGACCATGAGTTGTCCTCTGAGCTCTGAGTACACAGACACACATCACAAGTAAGTAAATAAATAAATAATTTTTCAAAAGCTGAGGGTGAGGATAGTAAGATGGCGCACTGGATAAAAGGGGTGCTACCAACCTTAATCTTCCAGGTTCAATCCCCAGGACCCACAGGGCTGTCCGGCAGCTACCACACATGCACTATGGTGTGTGCTCACTAAATAAGTGTGATGGGTCTTTTTGTTGTTTCATTCTATTTTAAGAGCACTAAGCTGCCATACACAGTAAGGACCCAGGGCCTGGGGCCGTGTTCACTCACGCTATGAAAGCAGGACCTGGGTTGGGCTGGCACAGGTTTTCTGGGTCTGCCTTGCTTGAGTGATGGTTCTCCTCAGTGAGGCCCCATGTGTTCGTACGCATTGCCGTTGCGCCTCCGTTTTGTTTGTTGCTGTTGAAGGTGATATAGAAACTCTGTCTCCTTAGGTTCCATGTAGCGGTCAACTCATTCTTGGAACAGCACAAGCCTGAAGTCGTAGAGATTCACGTGTCCATGACTCCCGCCATGCTTGCCATCCAGACGGCCATACTAGACATCTTAAATGCCTGTCTGAAGGAACTGAAGTGCCACAACCCGTCGCTAGAAGTAGAAGATTTATCCTTAGAAAATGCTCTTGGGAAGCCATTTGACAAGGTCCACTTTCTTTCTTCCTCTTGCCGCACAACTAGTTAGGCGGTTGTTTTAGAGAATGGAAGGTATTTCAGTATTCACCGTGTTCTTTGTAGGAACTAAATTGTGGGTGACTTAAAGTGGGGCTGCTTTGCCTACTGGTAGATAGTAAGTCGCAGTGACATGTGTGTTTGCCATAAACGTAAGACTGACTTTTTCAGTTATGGAGTGAGTGAATGTCTTATTGTAAGCATAATCAATGTCTTTCTTCCAAACTGACAGTATCTGGGTATTTGTAAACAACAAGTCTATAAAGGGATGCTTCATAATTGGGCATCCCTGAGTCTATTGTCTTTTTCAAATAGAAAGTTGGGTGCAATCTTTTGTTCTAGTTTTGGATTTGATATGGTTTCGTGGAGGTTGTTTTTGTTTTGAGACAAGGTCTCACTATGTGGCCCTATAGTGTGTTATAGTGAATTATAGACCTCCAAAATGCTATCTTTAAGAAATTCCAGGTCACATTTATTTTAACATATGCTGCTGCTGTCTTTTAAATTCTGGGTCAGTCTCTGTCACTGGGAGCAGTGTGTGGGGGTATACAGAAGAGGCCAGTCTACTGTGAAATGCTCATGTGCAGAATGGATCTCGTGTATTCTGTGTTCTTCCTTCATCCTGAAGTGTGTATAGCTTAGTGTGTACTGATAACAAACCTGTCCTAGAAAAGCAGAAGCTTTATTAAACACTGATTTCTGTCCGATGTCACTGACAGGTGAGAGGCAAGGATTATTTTAGACATTCTTGCACTAATCACATGCAAATGTAGCCAGAGCTTGTATCAGGTCAGACAAACCCGTGAGGTCCATCTTCTAACAAAGCGGTCTGCGGTTGTAGCCTGGCTCTAGCCTTCTTCCCCCCGTGCGTCTGGTTTCCTGTGCATACACATCCCAGTCTGTAGCGTGAACCGTATGCCACTTCTGTTCAGCGTGTCTGATGAGATGCTCCACATGCTGTTCTTTCTGTTCATAAGAACACGTCGCTGGTTTTCCAATACATACCAGGCCTTTCTGCCTATAGTGTGTATGACCATGCATGTGTGTGTATGTCTGCATCCATGTGCATTGTGTGTTTTGTCTGTGCATGCTGGGTGCACACATATGTGTGTGTTGCACATGCTCCTGAATGTACAGAGGTCAGAGGAGATGTGGAGTGACCTCTATCGTTTCTTTGCCTCATTTCACTGACAAAGGGTCTGTCACTGAATCGAGAGCTAAGCTGACAGCCAGAATGTCCCCGAGGTCCTCCTGTCTTTGCTCCCATAGCGCCAGAGTTAGAGGCACATCCCATCTTTTTATGTGGGTGCTGGGATTTGAACTCAGGTCCTTCTTCTGCACAGTGGATACTCTTACCCATGGAGCCATCTCCCCAGCCCCCTGACAGTAATGTTAATAATAATTAAGGGAACTTAACTTTATCTGGTCATAAAAATCGTAGCAATTTTGTTATGCTTGAAAAATTAAATTATTAGGATTTAGTGACCTGAAACTTTCTAGCTACTTCCTTGGAAATAAATATTTAGAAAATCTTATTGTAGTAAAATACAAATAACAAAACATTTAGCATCTTAAATATGTTTTTACATATCCAGTGAATAACCCTTATGGAAAGTATGGCTGTGTTAAGAAAAGCTATACCGAACATATCTTAACAACAGTAAACTGTATTTTTTTTTTTTTCAGACAATCCGCCATTACTTGGACCCTTTGTGGCACCAGCTTGGAGCCAAGACTAAATCCTTGGTGCAGGATTTGAAGATACTAAGGACTTTACTGCAGTATCTCTCTCAGTATGATTGTGTTACGTTTCTTAATCTTCTGGAATCTCTGAGAGCAACAGAGAAGGTGTTCGGTCAGAATTCAGGTGTGAGATTAAAAATACCAATATTATTCTAGGAACTGGTTTGAATAATGTTTTAATGGAAGGAGTGCTGTATTCAACTCATGTTATAAATTGCATTTCATGCTCACGGCACAAGGATACAGAGCGTTATTGATTGCTAATGTTCCCACCCACTTAACTTCTGTTCTGTATAATAAATATTCATATCCGTTCTCCACAGTTTTCTTTCCAGAGAAGACTTCTGTAGTAGTACAAACAGCTTAACTTGGAAATAGGTTGTGTTCTGGGAGTTTGGTTGGTAGAAACTTAAAATTAATTTTACTCAAAGCCCTGAGGGATGGTTTCATCTGCTAGAAATTCAAAAACTTATGAGATTCGTTTAAAAGTACATACCTGTACAGTGACTGTCATGCTAACTACATGAGACCCTTGAGGTCAAAATATGTGCATTTAATAATTTTCACTGCTTCTTGAGGACTTGTCAAAAAACAAAGTACAGACTGGGAGTATAACACTATGGTAGAGCACATGCCTAGCACATGGCAGGCCCTGGATACAGTCTCCAGTGTCAAGAGATATAACACCATGGTAGAGCACATGCCTAGCACATGGCCGGCCCTGAATGCAGTGTCCAGTGTCATGAACACACAACAGTGATGAAGCGTAGAGGTACATAAGAAAGGACTCATTAGTTGGTGCCACTGTCTTAGATTATGCAAAGTTGTGTGTAGGGAGTTCCCCAGTACCACTTGGAAATGTCAGCGTAGTTATCTTAGAATTACTGTAAGCAGAGTTTTGAGATCTTATACCCATGAAAACCTCTCGAGGAGTCCTAAAGGAGGCCGTGGGCCACACTTTGAAAACCACTGGTCTAGGCAAGCAGAGGCTACAACAGTAAGATGTGAAAGCAAGTTGGCAGCCAGTGGTCTATGTGGGTCATGTGGCCATTAAGAGTATTAACTGCCACTAATTGAAGCCCTTTTTTTAAAAAACATTCTATTAGGTTGGCTTTTCCTGGACGCTAGCACCTCCATGTTTGTGAATGCTCGTGCCCGAGTTTACCGTGTTCCAGATATCAAACTGAGCAAAAAGGCCAAAACATCGGAAAAGATGGCAAGTCCAGAAGGGCAAGGTCAGGCTTTTCATGCGTCTCTGTTCCCAGTGGCCATTGTGACCACAGTGGCGTGGAAGCAGGTGTCAGCTTAAAGCAAATGTAGCATCTTCTGTTATGCGTAGAGATGTGTGTGGGAAGACTAGGCTGTGAAACCAGGATGAGAGCCATGGCCAGAGAACACCCGTGTCAAAGGCCGGATAGCAACCAAGAGTGCTCACTGCTTGTCTAGAAACAGTTCAACTCTTACTATCTTGGGCACTATAGTCGTAGTGAAACATTGTAGCATTTTTTGTAATTTTTAAAGAATATAAATACAATAGATAGAGGTAACTATAGGTTTGATTCCAGTTTCCATCCAGTAAGCATCAAGTATCACTCTTCCTAAGGCCTGGGATGGGATAGTTAATACTTGTTTCTGCCTGCTTTAAAGATCT